ATAAAAACATTCGCAGAGTCACAAAACTTCAGATATAGAAACAGAATAATTTGAAAGGAAACAGGGATGGGTCCACAGAGTGAGTATGAAAAAAAAAAAGGAATCAGGTCATGTTTGACAGTATCGTTACCATGTCAATTTTCTGATTTTGATATTACACTACAGTCATATAACGTGTCACCATGTTAACTGGGTAAAGAGGTTCTATGTGCTACTTTGGCAACTTCCTGTGAGCCTATGATTATTTCAAAATAAAATGTTTTTTAAAAATCAAAAGAAGAAACAAAATAGCAAATCTAGAAAAAGATTTTCAGAATAGAAAAAGTTTTAAAGAATTACTAAAATAATATGCAATCACTAGAAACAAATTCTTTTTCAGGTCTCAAAATGAAATTACAGTATTTCCAAATCCAGATATTAACATTTGCTGGCAATAATAAAATCACCTACTTGAATGGCTTTACTATAATCAAGCACCCCATCCACTGATCCAGAAGGAGTATCATCAACATGATAAATTCTGGGGGGAAAAAATCAGAATTTCAAAGACAGTATAAAGGTCATAGTATATCATTATCTCTAGAACAGTTAAAGGATTGGATGATACCAAAAAATATTGTTATTTGACATAAATGTCCTTATTATTTTAAAGAGTTCTTGACAAAGCTCAATCTTATAAAGGCAGAAACTATCTACCAGATGTTTACTAGTTATACAACTGATACATTCATGAAAGCTGTGCCAAAAATACATATGACCATTGAACCACATACTTCCAGTGAATTCATGAATAAGCCCCAAGAGATATTTTACCTTACTTTCCAAAGGAACATCAGTCAGAAGTAACTTCTAATACTCTGTTATCTCTCCATTGTTTCTCCATAACTGCCCTTCTATCAATGTGTTTAATAAAGGTAAAACTTAGATTTACTTGGGAAGCTCTAATTAATGGAAATTTTGTTCTGAAGTGAAAATCCTTCCCTATGCGTACAGCGTTACCACTTCTGGATTTCCACCATCTCTCTGACACCTTCATCGTAATACTTATTCACACCACAGGATCACTGCTAGTCTACTTGCCTCTCCCCCCAGAGGGTGCTGAGTTTCCTGGAGTCAGACTACATCTCCAGTGTGAAGCACAGTGACACATATTGTCAGGTGCTCTATAATGTCTGCTGAAAAAATATTAAAGAATATTTTAACAGAGTAGATACATCAAAGAGTAGCCATGATGCTCTGGGCAAGTTACTTAACTTCTCCGAGCCTCAATTTCTCCATAAATAAAATGGTGTTTGTAAAGCACATTCACACCGAGCCTGATCTATAAAAAGGGTTCAAGAAATTGTAGCTATAATATAATCACAGGAAAATCAAGCTACTTTTCATCTTTAAAATATAATGAAATTTTATCATCATTAAATCGAAATCGTAATTGTACTTTCGTCAATGTAGCAAGGAGATCAAATGTGAAATAAATTTAATAGAAATATATTAAGGACAGAAAGGTGTACTAATTTAGAGGTAACATGTTTCTGCACTTTAGTACATTTCTATTAAGTATATACAGTTACTAGTTCTACTTAGTAATCACAAAATAAAAGTCAAAGGTCAGAACAAGTCTCTCAAGAGGTCATTTGACCCACCTTCCCCTCTTAACACAAGGTGGGTAGTGGAAGAAAGGCCAGTTGAGTACGGTGGTCCAGAGCCAGATAAAATAGCTTTATGTCCCACCTCTACTTATCAGCTCGTGACCTTTGGAAAACAATTTAAGCTTGTGTGTCTCAGTTTCCTCTCCGTGAAACAGGAATAATAGGATTATTATTAACTAGACTTACATAGCATCTGCCACAGAAGAAGTATTCAATGTCGGCTGTTATGGCCGACATCAACTGTATTTTACAGATAAGGAAATTAAGGTCCAGAGAGAATTAGCCCAAAGTCATTAAAACTAGTAAATATGTCCCAGATAGAAATATAAGGAAATGCTGCCTTCTTTATTTAAACAAAATCCAGAATCTCTTTAGCTGGCTCTCGGAGGACACTCACTCTATGGAGAGGCTAGACTTTTCTACCTCAACTCTGTCCTAAGATGTACCTTCTCTCCCAAAACTGCAAGTCTCTTATTGTTGCTACCACTGCCACATACTGTCCTCAAGATGCCAGAGATTATTCCCGTTAAGTCTTTCAGAAGTACTGAGAAGACAAGATACAGTATTTTTCAACTGTTTTTTTACTGCTTTCACGTGAACTCACATATCCAAACTACTTTTACTGAGAATATATCCCCTATCTTAGTACATGAGTCAGTCTTAAAGGGAAAAGAAGATTGCATTAAGATTCCAGTACATGTGGAGAAAATTATTTGAAAAAGCAACCTGGGATTTCTGACATGACTGCCCACCGCCTACCCCACCAACATAGGCCTACGTGGTGACAGAAAGAAATCTAACTATGGCTGATGATCACGCAATGCAATATATATGCCTTACTGTTGAATTGTACACCTGAAACTTACTGGATTTCGTTAACCAATGTCACCGTAATAATTTTTTTTTTTAATTTAAAAAAAGAATCATTACGTTAAAACATTCAACAAAATGCTTTACTTAAAGGCTTAAGATAACAACAAAGGGCAGCGTACATAGAGCATCACTAAAAGAGATACAGTAAATGCATCTGCACCTTGAGAAGATCTCCCCATCCTGGCTCCTAACGTCTCGATGTGGTAGAGCCCTCTGTATCTCCAGTTACTAACAATGGTTCCAAACCCAGACTCCCTGGAATCCAGGCCAGGGTAAGAGAGAGAAGCCAAGCGACCAGTATGTCCTACCTGAAACCATCTCCATATCTGCTCTAAGGACCTGCATCTCCTGGGGTGAATAACACTAGAATCACCCCCACCCTGTTGGAAAGACCTGTACCAGGAATGAAGCTTTGGTTAGACATTCAGATCTCAACCGAACAATCAATGGAGCATTATAACTCTAATATGGTGAGAGTAGATGAATGAGAATAGCCTTTTCCTTATAAAAATATAGATTTCTAGTCTATGTCTAAGGGCTTTCTTTTATTACTCCATGCTTACCTCTCTCTTATTTTGATAAACTGAAACAGACACATTCGAAAAGTATTCAAATTAATGGGAAAATATTATTTATATTAAAACAATTTAAAGTTCTCATGACAATTTGTAATTTGCTATGTCTGATTTAAATGTGATATGGTTGAGCTTCTAAAAAATATGCATCAAAAGGTATACCTTTCTCTCCCTTCCTTTCGAGACCGCGTGATCTGATTAATTTCCAATGCTGTGAGCTTCTTTGCCACACGATATTGCCAGATATAAAATGCTTCTTTTGAAGCTGCTATCACATGGGTTTTGGTCATTGCAACAAATAATGGTACTATTAAAAAGAATATTAAGACAATTAGGTTACAGTTACACACAATCACAGGATGTTTGTGATGCCAAGGACTTTAGTGATCACTGAGTCCAACCCCTCATCTTACAGACAATAAACCCCATGCACAGTCTGGGAAATCAGATAAGGGTCAAAAGCTTGTAGAACCATATAAAATATTAACTCAAAACAAATCAAAGACAAAACTACAGAACTCTTAGAAGGAAATGTAAGAGTAAATCTTTGTGACATTAGGTTAGGCAATGGTTTTTTAAATATGATACCAAAAGCATAGGCAACAAAAGAAAAAGTAGCTAAATTGGACTTCATCAAAATTTAAAATATCTGTGCTTCAAAGGATATTGTCAAAAGAGTGAAAAGACAACCCACAAAAGGGAGATTATATTTGTAAATCATATACATGACAAGGAATTGTATCTAGAATACGTAAAGAACTCATAACTCAAAGACAAATAGCCCAATTGAAAAATGGGAAAAGGATCTGACTAGAAACTTCTCCAATAAAGATATGCAAATAACCACCAGGCATATGAAAAGATGCTCAACATCATCAGCCATCAGGCAAACGTAAATCAAAACCACGATGAGATACCACTTCGCGCCCACCATGATGGCTAGAATCACGAAGTCAGATGATAACCACGTATTGGCGAGGATGTGGAGGAATGGGTGGAATGTAAAGTGCTGTACTCACTCTGAAAAACAGCTTAGCAGTTCCTCGACATGCAAAATATAGAACGACACATGCCCCAGCAAGTCCACTTTTAGGTATAAACCCAAGAGAGATGAAAACATGTGTCCACACAAAAACTCATAAACGAATGTTCATAACAGCATTATTTATACATAATAGCCAAAAAGTAAAATCAGCCCAAATGTCCATTAACTGATGAATAGATAAGTAAAATTCCATTCCTTCCTCCTATCCCCACTACCATTATTGCTTGGTCCAGGCATTTACCCTTCCCTCTGATCTCATATGTCTTATTTTTTCATTAATTTAGAAAATAAAATTCTCCAAAGTTCCTTCCTAATTTAGGAACAGTCTCCTAAACATATAACTTTTTTCCATCTGTTGCATTTCTTAGAGAACATTTCATTAAGCTCCTACTGTATACCTTTTGATGAAACAGAGAGTCTCATCAAATCTATCTTACAGATAAAGAAATGGAGAATTAAAGAAATAAAATAATTTGTCCAAAGTCACAAAAAAATAAACAACATAAAATTAAACATAAATTCACATAAAATATATTTTAAAAACTTCATAAAAGATCATTTTAGTACCTAATTTCTAAATTCATGATTAAAATGATAGGATAAATATGCACAGTCACCATTTCTATGGCCAGAATAAATGAATGGTGTTAACAGCAGCTACCATTTATGGAGTTCCTGCCACAGGCCAAATAAAGAATATTTAAGGCAGTAAGAGACTTAGAAACCGAACAAAGAATTAGAAACTAGACCGATAGTATGATGTTAACTGAAGAAACTAAAAACTTGGGGATTCAAATTCAAGAATTTTTATGTGCTAAATAACTCAGTATAGTTGAATCATATTTAAAAAATTTTTTCCTTGCAATTGTCAAGATTTTTCTAGTTAAAATGTGCAGTATTACTAAACTCTAGAGGGAGCCAGAAGCCTTTCCTTGGGGATGGAAGGCTGTCCTGGGCTTGGTGGCAAAGCCTGTGGGGAACGCTAAGTGGGACAAATCGGCACGCAGGGCCCAGGCTTTGCTCAGCTCTCGCTGACCCCATCCTCACCAAATCACAAGACATTTGCTAAATACTTAGTAAATTCTATCACGGAGACTCTGATGCTGGTAACTACCATACGCTGTATCTGATGTGAAGTTCACAAACCATAACTGCTTGCTAATAAAATATTTTCCTGAGCATATAAAAGCATTTTTCTAACCAACATCTACTTACAATTATAAATTATACTCATGTCCCTTTTTTCTGACACATCCTAAGTAATCACAAGAGTTTATCATTAGCCTGATTAATTCAAAATTAAAATGTTAGTGGTTTACAACAAAAGTCAAGACTTCTTAGATTCAAATCCCAGGCATTTGCTAACTCATCGGACTTAAATTACTTATTCTCTCCAAACCTTAGTTTACTTACTGTAAATTGAAGATAATAATACTAACAATAATACCAACCTTATAGACTTGCTTTAAAGATTAAAAGAAATAATAACTATGAAGCATAATACAGTGACTGGCATAGAATAAATGCTTAGTAATAATAATTTTAAAAGCCAATATTTACTGAATTTTTAAAAAATTATGAAAGGCATACATTGTAATAGTTATATTAATTATAATTATATAGTTACTATATATACCATATAATTATATTAATATATAATTAATCTATTACACATGTTAACTCACAACCACTCTATCAGGTAGACATTATTATTATCCCCCACTTAGCAGATGAAGAAACCGAAAGACTTGGAATGGTTAGATAACTTTCTGAAGTTGCACAGCTAGAAAGCAGCAGAGCTGGGACACAAACCCAGTTAATCTGGCTCCAGAATCTATGCTCTTAACCACTATGGCACAGTGCCTCTTACTAAGGGCTCATAAGTATTAGGTGTGGTTGCTGTTGTTTTTACTCATATTACCCCTATAGGTTTTTACAATAAAACCATATACAGATACACGAGTCAATACAAAAACAAATACAAACATACCTGAAACATGTTCTTTTCAATCAGTACGGTAGTAATTTCAGCAAGTTCACATGGGTAGCTAACCCTATCTACATAAATTATGTTAGATCTTTATTAAAAGATGCATCCCATCCAAGTAAATTAGTTTTAGTTTCCTAAAACTAAGCCTCTCAAAAAAAGTTAGAAGACCAAATTTTAACAGATAGAATATTTTATGGGAAAAAAAAAAGTCCTTCTCAACTATTCAATTTCTGCAAAAAGAAACTCAAAATATCTAAAAAGGTTATTGGGGGAAAATTTTTGAGAAAGTAATTATGCTTTCATTAACATAACTTTGTAACACTAACAGGTAGTAGTTACTAGCCAAGCAAGGATATAAAACGATTTAAAACAATCTATGAAATCATATATAAGTAAAAATTGTTTGCAATATTTAAATGCTGAGATCTGAAATAAATGTTTACATCTATAATGTTCCCCTACTTTCCACTTACTCATTTCTCAGCCCTTGAAAGAGCTGATAAACTGAATTTGCACTGCAATGTCTCCATCAATGTGTCTCTCCGGAATACGAGGAAGGCTCAGTGCATGTGTTACAGACCATCGCTAGGAAGCCCCTACACGCTCCCTCCAAAACGGCTGCAGCATGAGCCCCTGGTACCTTTCAGACACTTTTCATTCCTCTGCAAATGCTGTTTTCTCACCTTAAAATATCACCTAAAGAAATACTTATCCTTTAAAACTCAGCTCAAATGAAACATTCTCTTAGAAGAAAAGGTGTTCCTAACATCTTTATGCATTGATATCCATTTATGTAACACTTAGCACTGAAACGTCTAGCACACAGCAGGGGAGTAATAGTCATTGTACAATGGGTTAACTATATTTTAATTATCTGTTTAGACATCCTACAAGAAACATCATAATTAATTTCTTAGCACTCCTGGTACCCAGTAGAATACCTGAAATTGTATATACTCATTGATGATTTGCTAGATAAATGGATTATATTTTAAATATTTTCATACATTCAACAAACTCTTGCTATGGGGCAAGCACAGTAGGCAGTGAGGATACAGAAATGTATCTTTAGATCTTTAGAAAGCTCAAAATCGTATGGGGAAGATACACAAGAAAATCAATAATCACAGTGCAGAATAGTACTTTGAATGGAAGCACATCAAAGGTATTTTGATGGCTCAAAAGAAGAACACAGAAAAGAGTACCTAACCTGACTAGAAAGTACAACAGAATCCCACAAAGTAAACTTCTATAACAATGAAAGTTTCTATAGAGATTGTCAGAAGGAAGAGTGAGTGACAAAAAAATTAGACTCTCTAGCAGAATATCAGTTAGAAATTGCTTTAGCCTCCAGTCATGAAAACTTGGCATAGAAACTTTTTTAAAAAAGAATTTTACAGGATATGTATGAAACAAAAATGTTGAGTCTTGGCTGAGTTTATTGCAGACCAATGAAAGAACTGTTTGTTAAAATTTCAGCCAGCGAGACTGCAAAAAAAAGTTTCAAGACTAAAAATACAAATAATCACGCCCTCAGGCATTTGCCATTTTATAAAGGTGAAGGACTTAACATCTGGCTTTATTAAAAAATTGACTACCTACGATCAAAATTAATTTGAGGCTAACTCTATCATCATTATGATTCTATGTTAAAACTTGATACTAGAAGAAAAAGCATATTATCAGAAGACTGACAGAATTCACCCCTTAAACTGTTATGTTTCTAATAAATAGAAAATATTCATGTGACGAGTCTGTAATAATTTTAAGTTAATCCCTTTAATGAGGAAGACTAACGTGTGTGTATACATATATGTACATAGAAACATATAAATATAGCTATGTAACAATAAACATAAGATACGAAGTTGAAAATTTTAAGATATAAACGTGAGTGACCAAGACCCTAAATATAAAGCATAAAATCTCTGAAGCCAGTAAATACTTTTCACAGTTTCTTGTATTACCCAAAGCGCTTAGCAAAATAAAACACTTTAGAAGGCAGACATGAACATTTGACTGTTAAGGCTAAATGTGAAATCCGAAAAAAGAGAGAGAGAGAGAAAGAGAGAGAGACTAGTTCTCAGATTCACAAAATAATTCAATGGGTTTCAATTTTTAAAATCTAATATTTTTTCTAATGCCATATCCAATAAACTACCATACACTTTAAAAGAAAACCAGTACATTTTGAAGCTATAGTGAAATGGCAACAAAACACTTGGTAATGTTTTTTAGCAAAATACTTAGAATAAGATTTGAAATTTTTTAACAGTAACTTTCATAGCTGTTGGATACAAGGGATGATAAATCTAAAGAAACAAATGTCTTCTGAAAAGAAAAAGTCAGGAATTTTTGAGAACTGTCCCTATTAATGGACTGATTTCATTAGAAAATTCTGGAAAGAGCAAACTCACTTTTACAAGCAGCAAAAGTGTATTTTTATGGAAGAAAGGAATTTATAGGCAGTTTATTAATAATAAAAGTGGTTTAAGGGCAAAATTCTTTCTATAACCCTCAGTTTATTACATACTAATCATTACGTTGCATACCAATTCCTATACAACTATATTTCCCATTTGAAACAAATTATGGAGGTATAGCAATTGTGAGATTGTGAGACTGTGAGATTGTTATAAATTTTAGATAGAATCACATTGTAATTGATTGTAGTAACCAGGATACTTCCAGTTAATACAGTGAAATGGAGCAGTATTAATAATCATACCATGACACCAGGTATAAATTGGATCTGGCAAGCCAGGAAGTATGTTGATCCTTGTTTTGGAAAATACCATTCTAATTAATAATACTACTGTTAGGTTTTTTCATTAGTTTTACAAATAAAACTTGATTAAAAAGGAAATAAATATTAACATTTCCTTACCAATATCAATGTATTTGGGATCCAAGGGTGTGCCAATAGAATTACAAAGAACTAACACAAACTGTGAACAAATGAAACGAAAAGTATCAGAACTTCTGCTTATGTACAATAAAGGAAATAACGCTTAATGTATCATGCTTATCCCTGTTTTGAGTATCACTGAGAAATAACTGACCAAATTGTTAAGTCAAAGACTAGCACATATACATAATCTACTGCATTAAAAATAAAGAAATATGAATTGAAATTAAACTAAGGCTGACTTGTCAATAATGGAACATTGAGGCCACTTAATAAACACAAATACACTGGCTACTTTTCATTATTTATACTTTTAAAATTCCTGATCACCTATAACCTCGAAACTCATCACTATCCCACAATCAGGTAAATAAGAGCTTGTTTGTTACCAGTGCACCAAACGTTTCCATCTCGCTCTCCTCCTTTGAAGCATGACATGAGAAGCACGACACGGCATGAGAAATCCAGAAAAATGCAGTTAACTCAGAAACAGTGTAATCCTATCTAGCGAAAATTACTTAAAATGCCCATTAGTTAAAACATACACAGATAATGATCAATTCTTGTTAGAAAAAGTAATCGAGCATAGTGCATACTTTATATCATATTATTCTAAAATGATCATTTCATTTATCGTACTATTGGTTACCTTTTCTATATCCGGTACTAAGAATACTATTTGACTTAGATGCTTTCCTGATTAGAAAAATGATTTCAAATTAGCCAGTTCTCTACGTACTATTTATTACATACAGACTTTGTCTTTTTTTTTTCAGCATCTCAAGCAAAAAGTTTAATTTCATAAATACAATCTAAATGACAAAAATTATACTAAAATAGCAATTTATTCTTCCACTATTTAAAATAAGCTTACTTACTCCTACCAAATCACACAAATAATTAGTATTATTTAATTTACTTATCATTTATATGCTCATAGTTTACAGATTCAAATGGTTCCATAGGACTTCTTACTGAAAATACAAGTTTCCCCCAACTTCCCATTTCTTGCTCCCTAGAGTAATTACTTTCAGCTCCTTTAACTCGTCCTTTTGATATTTACCTCCACGAATCTCAGTAACATGTTTATAATGCTTCTTCTTTGTTTTGTTTCATTTTGGGGCATTATCTATTGAGTTCCCGCCATCAGAAATAAGTATGTCACTCCCTTCCACCCGCCACTTCCCCAATGTGGCTCTCATCACATAGGAACACACTTCCATCTCTCCGTCTTTCCACTTATAATTGTGTTAGATCAGCATTTAGGATTTAATATATTTATTAGACTTCAATTAATTTGTGTTTTTAATTTGAAAACACCAGTGACTTTATCATTCTAACTATATAAATACCATTCATAGGTGAGTTGTCAAGTATATCGTGATTTATGCTCCTTTCAAGCACATTTTGCTTTCCCTGTTGGTAATTATCTCTTTGTTCAGTTATCTCTGTATTTATTACTAACTCGAGTACCCAGTTACCTCCCAGTTATGTATACCTCCTCTCAAGGGTTAAACCATTAATTTCATTCTGAATTCTTCTGCAACCGTATGACCTGCTTTCATCTGATGACTACCTAGGCATGTTGCATAACTGTCAGTTGGTATCACTCTTCACCTTGTTAGGTTGTCGGGTTTCTTCCTCTCTCTTGGTTTATTCTTCATTTTGGTAGACTATACCCTGAAGTAACTTTCTAAAATAAAGAAGCTTGGAAGGTAAAATTTTGGTGATCTTGTACATTTAAAAGTGTCTTTATTCTATCTTCATTTTAATTATTATTTTGCTTAAGATATGGAATTCAAGATAGGAAATCCAATTCTCCAAAGTAATGCTGTTGACAAGTAGAATATCATTATGATACCTGATCCTATGAAGTCTTTTTCCCTCTGAAAGCTTGTAGAATCATCTTAACCCCAGAGTTCTACAATTTCACAATGATGTGCCTTGATGTGGAAGCATTTTTATTCACTGAGCTAGACACTTCCAATCTAGAAACTCAAGGGAAAATTCCTTGAATTTTTTTTTCAGAGTTACTCTCTTCCATCTGCCTGTTCACTCTTTTTAGAAATGCTGAACTTCCAGGACTGGTCCTCTAATCTAATTTTCTCATCTTTTCACTCCTATTCTCCATTTCCTTGTCTTATTGCTCCACTTTATAAGCGTTTTCCTTCATTTTTATCTTCTAATTCTTCTGCCAAATTTTTCATTGTTATCATATTTGCAATTTTCAAAAGCTGCTTTTTCTATAGCATCCTTTCCTTGTTTTATGCGTGTAATAATATTCTCTTAACTCTCTGAAGATCATTTGAAATGATTCTTTCGAAGTGTTCTTCTTCTTCTCAGTTCTTTTCTCCTTGTACTTATTTTTGTCGGTCTGTTAAAGCAGGTTCTCCAGAGAGAACCCTTCCACTCTCCTACCTGAGCTCCATGTTTATCTGCCAGGGTTCTAGGAACCAAATGGGAAAAGACAACTGGGGATGTCCGAATAGTCAACTTTTATTTGAACTGCCTTGTTTTCAGACTTCCTCCGCCCTTATCTATGCTTGGTGCCCCTTGGGACAGACTCTTTAACCTCCCTGGCATGTAAACTCCTGTCTCCCTAGGTGGTAGAAGGGCAGCTGCCACGGGCTCCGTAGGAGGAAGGGGATCTAGGAAACTGCTTCTTTATATGCCTCTTTTTTTTTTTTTTTTTAAGTTTTCTCTTTCCTGCATCTTTGGTACTTCCAAATTGCTTTTCTGTTTGTTTCTTTCTTCTACCAGGTACCGTCAAGTCCTGTGTCTCTATAGGATTCTGTAGTACAAACTGGTTGCTTCTTTGCTTTCTGCGCTGATAATGCAGGATTCAGCTTTCTTAGGTCTGCTAAGGTAATTACCACCGATCCACCTACTCTCCAACCTCCAAAAATATGTTGCCATTTCCTCTCCTTTTCTGGTCCCCATGGGCTTATGACTTCTTTAAAAATACCTTGCATAATATTGTTGTTTTAGTGAGTTTCAGGAGAGAACAGGGCCAAATGTAGCTGTTCAAATGGCCACTTAAACCAATAACTGGGATAAAATAATTTATAACACAGCCAAAGACACGGTAGCCTTTTTTTGAAAAATGCTCATGCTTCTACAAACATTCAAATTTTAGCATACTTTTAAAAAAAAGGCATTCTTTATATTATTTATTTTCTGCTATATAAGAGACATTGACTTTTAAAGCAATATATCTCTAAATAAGAGTATATTTCTCAATGTCAAGGATATCCAAAGTGTTATAATGGTCACTGTTAAATAATTTCTTGAGCATGATACTAGACATCTGGATATTCATTTTTGCTTATGGAATGTTAACTTGGAAAAGGGCTGTGGTATTTTAAATATATTTCAAAGACAAAAGCTTCAGTACTGAACTAGTCAATATGAAATGTCAGTGGATTAGCTGATTGGAGAAAAAAATCAGAGGACACAGAACAAATGGAGTCACATAATTTTCCAAAGCAGAGGTCTAGACAGACATGGCCAATAGAACCAATACTTCACTGTACCTGCCAGTACAGAGGCCATGCTTGAGAAGGTAGATAACTATAGCACAATTCTCTCAAGTAGTTAACCCAACTAAATTTTAAGATACCAAGGAACACCTACCTGAGGATGATTCTCATCAGCTTTCGTAGCCAAAATGCAGAAGTCTCCACAGGTAGTAACAGAAATGAGACTCTTCACATACTTAACATATTTCTCATTGTTTTTCGTATCCCAAAATATAACACAGTACTCTGGACGATCAGGTCTGGTATAAGCATAAACTACAGTATTTGAGCAATAACCCCACTAGGAAAAATAGAAGGAGAGAAGAAGGGAAGGAAAGAGAGAAAAAGAGAGATAAAATATTTAACATTAAGAAGTAAAAATCACATTATTATATTTTTACTGTAGAATATTGCAGATACGTGGTTTATCAGTTCTGACAAAATATATTCTTCAGAAATGGGAGACAAAAGAACTGAACTTTCGGCTAAATACCTTTTCTCATTAAAATAACAAAAAAATCTAAGAGTAAAAAAACATAGTTATAAAACAAATAATATACTGCAAAAATAAGTTAGTTTGTTTAATTTTCCTTATCAGAATAACATATGCACAGTTTATAGTCAAATAATTATACAGTACAGAGCTTATTTAAAACAAAAACAAAAATGCAGATTTCCTCCCCCCAATTTCATTCCAGAATAGCCACTTACAACCTTTTTAGCTGTAACTGAGTATTTATCTCCATATCACTTATGTATTGATTATGGAACTTACACACTTAGAGCTTTCCCTTCTAATTCTCTCAATATATTTATATGTAATTTTGAATAAATCAATATATAGTTGACATTATTATGACTGTGTTTACTAGTCAAAGCTAAGCCATGTTTACTTTTTATACGGATTACTTTTTTAAAAAAATTTACTTTAAAATAATTTTAGATTTATACAAAAGTTGCAAAGATAGTACAGAGGTCCCTACAGTCCTTTTTTTTTTAACAGACTTAATTTCTCTTGTATAAAATTATGTGGTGGCCACTGCTGGAGCCTGGGTCCTCTGCACAGAAACTCTAGTGTGGGTCTTTACAAGATGGTCAGTGAACTCTGATAGGGAGACTTGGTGAACACGGTCTCTTTCCAGAGGTCGGGGTGAGACAGCTGTAGGTCTCACACTGTCAGCATCTTACATGACCATGGTACATTGCTCACGACAAAGAAACCAACACTGATCAAGCACTACTAACTGGGCTCCATACTTCATTCAGATTTCATTAGTTTTTCCCTAATGTCCTTTTCCTCTTCCAGAATCCTATTCGGGATACATTATATTTAGTTGTCACGTATGCTGAGGCTCCCCTGGGCTGTGATGGGTGTTCAGTCTTTCCCTGTTTTTGATGACTTTGACAGTTTTGAGGAGTACTGGTCAGACTTTTTATAGAATGTCCCTCAATTTGGGTGTGTCTGATGTTTTTCCTCATGCTTGGATTGGGATTTATACACAAAGGGTGAAGAGCTCTTCTCGTCATGTCACTTCAGGGGGTATGTGACATCCATGTGACATCACTGACGATGCTACCTGGACCAGGTAGTGTTTGCCAGGTTCCTCCACTATAAAGTTACTTTCTTTTTTTCCTCTTTCCATACTCTATTCTTTTAAATGCAGCCCCCACTCAAGTTGAGGGAGCAGGGGACTACGCCACACCTGCTGGAGGGGGTGACATCTCAGGACATTCAAATAGCTCTGTAAGAAGGTTTCTTCTCTCCCATTTATTTATTTAAACGATTTCTTTATATCAGTTTGTAGTCGTGGACACTGACTTTGTAATTCGGATTACCATCTAATGTCACATCATTTACTTTGTTGCTAAAATTGTTCCAGTTTCGGCCACTGGGCACTCTTTCAGGTTGGTCCCCTTGACCCTTTGGCACCCCACACCCCCATCCTTTTGTTCTTTGAGCGCTTATTTACTTCTTGGCACTGCAAGTTGCCGCAGGCTTATCTTGCTTTTTCTCCAGCCTACCCCTAGAATCAGCCATTTCTCTAAGCTTTGCCCTTTAAAAATTAGATGTATATATATTTTTTTAATAACAAGTATTCTTAGTCGTTTACCAGATCAAGCTCATACTTCAGAACTTGTTTCTGATCAAATGTTAAATGTAAGATAAAATATTTTTTATTGTGCTGTTTACTCTCATTTTCCCCTTCTGATCCATTCTCTGCCCTTCTCTACCCTGCTCTAAGCCCGGGAAGCTGACTTCCCCTGGTTCTGGTTCGGCCAATAAAAGGCACAGGCAGGTGGAGTGAGGGTTGAAGTATTCACCCCCAAAGCTGTCTCTGCTCCTGTAGGGTGGGCCCTCCACAGCTCTCGTGGATTCTGGGAACAATACTTCCTTATCCAGCCCACTGTTGCTAGTCTCTGGGTGCTGGCTTTGTCACCTCATTCTGGTTCCCTTCACCCTGCCCATACCCCTGTAATAAACCCTCCATCAATCTCTCTTCAATTACGCCTTTCAGTGTGCCATCTGTTTCCCGCTGAGACTCCAACTATTGGAATAATGTTACTAATTACATATAGTATTCTAGAAAAGTTTTCTAGTTCTAATATCATAAGGTCTTCACACTAAAAAAAAAAAAAAACAAACAAAACTCCTGTCAGTTGGTTTCCAAAACAAAGAGGCTATGAATATATGCAATAAACATATGCTTTAACAGAATTATTTAGTAAAAAACAGCTTTTTTTGATGACTGCTCATAATACTCACCTTATAATCAGGTCGAATATTTGCAAAATATATAAAAGAATCAACAGCTAGTGCAATTTTCAGTCCGCCTCCTTCCCAAGATAGGGCAGACATCTGCTTTCCGGGAACCTTCAAAGTACCCAGGTGCTGAAAAAATCATTATATTTAACCTGAAGTATCACAATGAAATAAAATACAAATTACCACCAATCATATCACAGAGATAAAAACTGGTATGAAAATTATTTTGTGAAAGGTTGCTACTCCAAAATCATTTTCCTTACATTTTTATTATGAAAAACATACATATGATAGAAATTTACAAACTATGGCCAAAAAAAACTCAGTATCAAATTTCATCAAATCCAAGATGCCTGAAATTTAAATGCATCTTGATTTTTATGTACAACTACGAAAAGAAAAAACACATTGCTAATTAAAACAGGACAACTTGGACTATAAGATGATTCTCAATTTTAGAGTTGTAAAAAATTATGCTTCTTAGAATCGATGAATTACGGTAGCAGTAAACTCAGTCTTTAAGCCTTGCCTCTCCTTCCACCCCCACAGCCAAGCAGTCCCCGGTCCTCCAGCTTCACACCCGTCTGTCCCCACCACAGCTGCCCCCATTCTTGAATGAACTATGGTCACAGCCTCCTAACAGCAGTTTTTACCTATCGTCGCTTTCCTCATTCCCACCCTCTACCCCCAAATTCAATGTCCACTCTACTGGCATCATTGTCTTTCCGGAACATAACTCTAATTACATCCCACCCTGCTTTAAACAATGTTTAATGCTTCTTAAATCAATAGCTCCCCACCAGCACATTCTTTAGCACAGTGTACAATGGCTTTTCTCGTCTGAGACGAAACTGTACTCTCCTTGGCTCAATCCTCCATGATTCAGCCATAATTCTCAGTCATGAGGGAACTGCTGTGCCTCCATATCTTTGGCCCATGTGGTATCCCTTCTGCTTGAAATCCTCCTTTCCCTTCCCCGTGTTGCCCCATCCCTGATGTTCCTCGTCCTCCGGGGGTACCTCTATCCGTCCTTCAGGACACAGCTTCGATACTGTTTCTTGCCTTCTTCCCTCCCTCTGTGGTTTCAGAGAATTTAGACAGTGAGCTGCTTGAGAGCACTAATTTTATCACATTCTCATTTACTTCCTTATGCCTTAATAGATCTCTTGGTAAAGAAGTACTCGATAAATATCTATTAAATAAATGTATCATGCATTCAAATTAAGTTGTTCATATACTAACATACTACATTTTATGGTTAAATTAGTGAGTAGATAAATGAATACAAAGACTTTGTAATGTGGTCATAAAAAGAAAACATTTTTTCTTTTAAGCTTATTTGACAGAGCAGTAGAGTCCCAAGAATTTTAATAAATTATACTGGTATCTCTTGTTAAGTAGATACGCCCTAAAGTCAAATGTAATGTATTAAACTCTGCTTGCCAGGGAAAGCAATTCGGGAAAAGTTTTAACCTAGGAGTGTCTACTCTAACTGTCCTGCTGTCCATGTGAAACCACAAGGAACAAGCAGATGCTCACAACGCCATTCCTGGTATTAATGACCTACACTGTCACGGGGAGAATAAGACCGTATCCTGACTCTGCAAACCAGCCAGGGGGTGGCAGCAGCAAGGAAAGAAAGCTTTAGGTAAGCTTTCACTAAGCACTGCAGAAGAGATTCGTTAGTTGTTTTCGCCTTTCATTTTTAGAACAGTGCCAAGAGGTATTACCTTGATTTCAGAAAATAAGTAAACTGGGTCTCAGAGTTCAAATACCTTCTCTGAGGGAAACTACATGGTGGAAATGGAATTCAAAGCCAAAGTCACGTCAACCTGACTGCGAAACCCCTGCTCCGCTATCCCCTCCCATGGCTGGGACCACCGCAAAAACCAGACCTTACGTATCCCGCCGAACTGAAAGCAAATTCTTCACTGAGGTTTTCCTGAAGTTTAAACCTTTTGATACCTTCCTTCCAAGTTATCTTCCCTATCTTAATAACATAGATCCAAAAATAAATGTCCCATACATCTGCTCATTCAAAAAACATTAAGTAACTAATGTACCTAGACACTTTCAATTGCAACTATACCAAAAACCACTTACAGTTTTCAAGTTAACATATTCAATTTAACATACACTGTTTTGCAAAATAAAGCAAAATGGGCCTTAGAATCCATGTTTTTCTAGTTGGAGAAGGCCGAACTAACAAAAATAAGCAGACAATGTAATGAGAAATAAGCCAATGGCGATGAACAAAAATAACCAAACGAATGAGAATTAGGAAAGAGGCTAGAAACTTCGACATAAACATCAGATTTTTAACTATTTAGGAACTTCGAGAACCGTGTCTTTGTTTCTCCTTAGCTTTTACACCCAGTGGATGTACAGAGCACCCCAAGACTCTAGAGCACAAGCTACTGGGCAACTGTGAGATGCTGATTCAAGAGCATCGGCTGACGCCAGTTCTTACCCTTACAGAAATTACCAAAATATATTAAAAATATTAATATTAAAATATTAAAACAACTGACGAAGGCTTTTGTGGAGTCAAAAATACATATTTTTGAAGTCTATATTGAATTTCTAAAAATGAACAGGATATGCAAAAGGGACTGAATATAGTTGAGTTAGAAAATAAAATAGGTAAAAATTTATTACACTTAGTTACTAATAATTTCTCATTTTCTAAATTCTTTAAAATGCCTAATATATTAATTCTCCTAATTGATATTTTCCACTACTACTTCAAGAAAATTCTCTTTAAAATTAAACTTATTAATAATACTGAGAAATATAACATGCATATGAAAACAATGCTTAAAAACTTATTATAGCATCATTTAAGATTAATTACTAAGATAAATTTCCTTAAAATAATTGATAATTCTATTAAAACTATTAGAAGTTTGGGGGAAGGAGAATCAGATTTGTATGTTTAATATCTATATCTATAATATTAATATTTAACACATCACATTAAAAATCTGAAATAATAATCTGAAACAGCTAAACTACACTAAAAACAACTCAAAAACCCACTACACTAAAAACAACTCAAAAAATCTGAAATAATAATCTGAAATAATAATAATACAGCTAAACTACACTAAAAACAACTCAAAAACCAGCTGTGAAAAGAGGTACATATTCAGATCACAGAGAAAATGCTCTCAATAACTATTCCACAGTGATTTCTTATATGAAACATCTGGTTTTCTAAATGTACAGATTATAAAAGAAATTCCATGATAAAAAATACAACTGTAAAATACGACTAAGATTTTGGGGGATTATTCAAAGAAATACTACACGTGATAGTTGATCATTTTTACACAAAATGTCTCTTAAAAATGTGACAAGTTATACCTCTTCCTCCATTCATTTTTTTTCCCTGCCTTACTCTCTGCGTATTTACATAGAAAGAAAGAAGACAGAAATCTTTTACACATTTACCTCACCAAATGGAGTGTAAAATTGCACGATGTTTACATCTTTATCCTGAGTGACGGCCTTCTGGGAGCCGGCCACAGCTAACACACTGCCAGTGTGGTTCCACTGGATACTGACGACATACATGCCAGTATCCATTAAGACAGGATCTGGTCAAAAAGAAAAAACGAGGCAACGGTGGTGAAATACTTAGCCCGGAGAACTCTATTATCTTAAGAACCATCTTAAAATGTTTTTTTAATGCTCCCAATTTAAAAACAAAAATTACCTACTTTGGTCATTCTCGTGTCTCATTATTTGGCACCTCCCATTGTCGAAACAAATAGCAAGGCAGGGGCAATCTGGCTCCACGTAGCCTTCTGTGCCGTGGTACCAGTGAATTCCAGCAATACTGATCGCGCCAGTGACATTCACCAAACAGTTCAGTTTCATTTTCATCTAAATAAAGTCAGTTAATATTCTATATAGTATATTTAGTATTCAGTAAGAAGAAAGTGCGTAGAAAGAACGCTAAAAATAGCATGTAACAATCTAGTTTCAAATGCAAGCTCCAACACTTATGGGTTTGCCAACTTATGGGTTTGCCAACAAATCACTTCACCTGAGTCTCAGTTTTCTCCATGTGTAAAATGAAGATTAAAAAATAAAAAAAAACAAAGCTGAGTTTTTAGGAGACTCTAATGACAAGAGGTATGTGAAAGTACTTTGAAATTAGTAAAGTGTCATATAAAAGTTGGCTATTATCACTTTCAGTTTTGTTCTTATATATATACTGTCCTAACCCCGACTAGAAACAAAACTGCCCATAAGGTCAGAGATCCATCATGGCTAAATCTCGCAAAGCCAGAGTTTTTCTTGAGATTATGCTCCCTGAGCCTATTCTATTTTGCCTGCTTCCCAGGACTTGATTTTTGTCCCTTACTGTTGAAGTCTTCCACTCTTTTTTTAAAAAATCATTAGTCGCTTGCTACAAAAATATTCTTGGTATCTCACGTAAACTTCAGCTTCGGGTATTAGAAGACACAATGATTAAACTGCACATCATCCTACTCACTATCCCTCAGCTTCAGTACATTGAAATCTTGTCCTTCTAGCTACCAGAAAATCAGAACTAAAAGCCTTAATTTACCTTGAAGCAATCCAGAAGTTTTTGTAATAAAAAAAAAATCTTTAGACAATTAGGGAAAAACTTGAAGAATTTCTTGATGACACAAACCATCATAATAAATAAATAGGTATATATGAGAATAACATGAAATAATCATATAAAACTATACAAATAAAACTAGTAAAAATATGGATATATATATATACTTACTATAAAATTCCCTTGATTATCATAAATGTGTATTTCTCCATTTGCCATTCCAAAGAGTAAGATTTTACTATCTGCAGACCATGCTACATGGCATAACTGTATACCCTTCAGGTCTTTACCCCAAATGCGATTCCCTGAAACAAAATATATGACATAATTATTTCATTAAAAGTTCAAGGTCATGATTCTTCACCAACTGCTCTAAAAATCTTTGTTTCGCTAAAGGGCTCTCTCATTCTTCACAGCGTTCATATGTTTAATCAATTTATTCAGCCAATAAATCTTCGTTGAGCAACTACTATGTGCCAAACACCCTGGTGAACATTTGAAATAGCAGCTATTTCCAACTTTCTCCCTTCTCTTCTAAACTCTGACCCAGGACCTCACTCCAGATTAGAAATGAATTCATCTTCTACTCCGGAAAGAATAAAGCTTTTGAAAAAGAAATCCCTCATTCCCATTCTGAACATCACTGAATCCACATCGATCCTTTCTCCTTTGCCCACTAAGACAAAAAAAGAGTATGTCCCCAAGGAGACACCTATTTAAGGCTAATCCCCCCACCCATTCCCTGATCTAATCCCTTCCTAGCTTTGCAAAAATCTCCCTTTGCCGATAATTCACATTTTCTCTTTCTCTTTAAACTCTTCTCTCCAAGCCTGATTTTATAACCATTTAAACATATTCAGATCTATTCCTCCTCAAAAGTACCACCTCATGTAAAACAAACCAAAAAACACTTCCTCAATCCTAAATTCCGCTCTAGCTACCACCATATTTCTACCATTCTTTGTCCAGCCAAACTTCTTGAGTTATCTAAACCTATGGTCTCCACTTCCTCACCTCCCACTCCGACCTCAACCCAACCCAATCTGGCTTCTGCTCCATAACTTCACCGAAACTGCCTTCACGGAGGTCACTGATGGTCTGTTGCTACATCCAAGGATACTTTTCTTTTTTTTTATTGACCACCCCTTCCTTCCTTCTTGGTTTCTATGAATCTCTGTACTCCTTTACCTCCAAGACTTCTATTTTTTAGTATCCTTTACAGAATTCTCTTCTGCCCATCCAACAAATGATGCTGATTCTTACACCACCGATGGCCCTTAGATGGTTTTTCATCTATTCCAATGATTTAAATTACCATCCATACACTGGTGATTCCCAAAATTATGCCTTCAGCCCAGATACTTCAGAAATGCAGATATATGTGTCTAACTATGGTCTAAACATATTTACTTGAATTTCCTCTGGCATGGCAAAATCAACATGTTCGAAACTAGTCTTTCTCTCACATCCTTTATTACAATGCAAGGTACCATCATCACCCATCTAGTTGCCAAAGCTAATAACCTGGATATCACCCTAGACACTCCCATCCCCTCATCCCCAATCCAGTCAATATTAGGTTCTATCTGCTCCATCTCCTCGGTATCTCTAGAATATGTAAACTTACCACCTCCTCCCAGTCATTACCTGATTCAGACTATCATCCGCCATCATCTCTCCCCTGAATTACCACAGTAATCTCCTACTTGGTACACAGGTCCCCTTCTATCCTTTTCCCCATTCCTCACGTTGCAGTCACAAAGATGTTTCTAAAGAACAAATCTGATCACATTGTTCCCATTCTTAAAATCTCTCATTGGGTTCCCGATGCTGTTACAGTTATGTCCAAATTCTTTGTGTAATTTACAATCTTTATGGTCTGGCCTCTGCTAATCTAATTTCATCACATACAACTCCTCTCCCTAGTATTATACTATACTGATTCTCACGTAAAGAAATAGCATTTTGAGGAAGTCCATAGGGGTTGAACTTAGCCACAATACCCCAAATGTGGCTAAGTTCAACCCCTATGGACTTCCTCAAATACTATTTCTTAGTCATAGCACATTCTATACACAAACCTTACTTGTGGTGAATGCCTCAGCATAAACATCACCTCCTCCAGGATGCCTTCCCTGATCCCTCCAAGTCTGGGTTACATAGGTACTTCTACATGTTGCTATATTTTCCCTATCTTAGGACTTATCACAAGGCATTATAATGCGTGGTCACTTATCCATCTCTCCTGATCTAGATCTGGAATATTTTTTGTTGTTGTAACTAGTGCCTAGAACTACAGCTGTGACTTTGTAGGTTTTAAAAACATTTATGGGGAAAAAAATTGTGGAATACATGAAGTTACACACACGCAAAAAAAAAAGAAAAAAAACATAAAAATGAAAATGACTTAAAAATAAATTATTTCTCCATAGACAGAGTTTCAGATTCAAACAAAGGCACAGATTTCCAGAAGTCCAGTATTACCTATGAACTCGAATTTGAAAGATATAGGTTTAAGGCTATGAAATACAACTAACAATGACATGCTCGGTTCTACGAAAAAATTATCAGGAGATCATTTCACAATATATATCGGTATCAAGTCATTATGCTGTACACCTGAAACTAATGTCATATGTCATTACCTCAACTTAAAAAAAATAACCAGAGCCTTATATCTCTATGTATTTTTTGAAACTAAAACTTACAAATTTATAATACAGTGTAACAAGTATAAAGATAAATTATATAATTAGGCACACATACTTAAAATAATCCTGAAAAATTAATTCACTTTTTTCACTGCCACTTTAGAGAATAGACTTTTTACTTGAATATACTTAAAAATAAATGGTCCTTAAATGTCATCAAATTATATACCAACTGTTTTCTCTTTATATGTTGATTTTTCTGTCAGACTGCTAACATATGACAATTTAAACCTCTAAAGCTAAAAACGTCAACTAAATCTCAAATTTAGTTCTGCATGCGATGAGACATTACCATCCACTGAACCAACTATCACAGCGCCATCTTCGTACACAATGCAGATCTTCTGTCCATCGGCGTTCCAGCTCATACTTCGAACCACTGACTTATTTCTGTTGTTGATCATCTCTTCATACCAGGATCCTATTTTCACAAATGAAAAGATTATAAATCCAAACTTTCACATCTATTAAACTGTACGTTAGAGTTGAAAGCATTCCATAAAATGCAATGTAGAATAAATAACTGCAAGGTGTTCCGCTACCTGAGACATCGAACTATAGAACCTTCAAATTCTGCATAAACAAAGTGAAAAATCAACTTAGGCCTTGACTAACAACTGCTTCGAAGAGTATCACAGAAAATATAATAATTGCCATCTTTTTTCTTTCTCTCTTCCTTTCCGTCGATTAAAAAATAAAACTTCGTTTGCTTTTGAAGGGCCAAAACAGCTGATTTTTCTCAAAGCCTAACTTTTCCCACTTGAACACACTTCAGATAATAACTAAGGAAAAAAACAGAATAACCACAATAACTTTACATGCATGTATAAACTCACCAATGATTAATCATAAGCATATTAAGTATAAGCACATTAGGTAAAAACTCTAAGCCTTCTTGACAAAAATGTTAAACAGTTCCTATCAAATTAGTGATATCACATCATTAATGCCGAATGACAAAAACGTTCTTATACACAGGGTTAAAGTGAGATGTAACTTATTAAAGGTAAAACCAAATGTGAGGCAAATCACCAGTCTATTTTGTTGTGTTTTTGTTTTTCAAGAGGCTTTACTACATTCTTATATAGGAAACTCTGGCCTGAAGTCAAGCACATAATCATGTAATTTGGAATAATTAGTCAGAGCAGGGTTATCATTAGAGTCAGGACCGAAGCCCAGAAAAAGACCTATCTTGGAAAAAGACAAAGTTTATTCTAATCTCTTGTACTTTCACAATTCTACTCACTCTACATACACACAAACTTTTTTAAAAATAAGAAATTTGTGTACTACAGTACTACAGCATATTTGTTAATGAAGAATTTTTAAATGGTATACTCTGAACATTTTCAAGACAACACACATGAACTGAAGTACCCTTTTCATTTAAAGATGATGGCTACAGGCCTCAAGAAAGCCTGCATTATGAGTTATTCTTCTGGTAGTAGTAATGCACCTAAATTAAGCCTTCTCTCGCTCTCTCATGTGGGCCAAAGGCACAAACCGTGAGCCAGCAGTCAGAGCTGAGATAAAATCTGTACCCGTGAAAGAAAAGAAAGCTAACTGACTCAATAAAGGAAATGAATTATTGCCTCTGACTTCTTAATAAACGTGTTTTTAATCTACTTAACTTATCACTGACCCCACAGAAACTAATTCTTATTGGAAACTTGGAAAGACAAGAGCTAGCTCAAGCAGAAATTATTCTGCTAAGAGTCTAAGTTAATTCTGGAGATAATCAACAGTCACCTAATTCACTTTCCTAAGCAAAGTCACAGTTCAAAAGAAATGAAGTTAAAGGGAAAAGCAGGCAGCAATAAATCCAGAAATATCGCCCTCGTGCAGTCAGGATGAATTCTTCTTGCTGGTTAAAAATGCTCTATTTCAAAGATGTTATTTCCCATTCAAATACTTTCAAATACTTTAATTCAAATACTTTAATTCAGACTCTGATTTGTACAAAATTAAATAAGCTCTCCTAATATACCTTTATATAACATCCAAACAATGATAAGCCCATTTTGATCACTGGTAGTCAACTTCTGATATTGTTCATTCCATGTTACAACTTGAACAGAACCTAAAAAAATAAACAAAACAGTTTAGAAACTACGAAAAGGCTACAATTAATTTCTAATTTATCTTTTTATAACAAACTCCAAGAGCATGTGAACATCAATACAGTTCCGTGCAACTAACCAGTCTTTAATATCAGTCAAAATTATTCATAGGATGCAGTTACTATTATCACTCATTTGCTACAGGAATGCATAAAACTATTTTTCATGTTTTTTCCTATTTCATATAGCAAAGGCACCTACTATGGTAACCTACAAAAGTTGAGATATATATACATATATATATAATGGAAACAAATGTAAGATTTAACCAACAGACTGGATTCTCAAGGATTATAATGCCCATAGGACATCATACTAAGTACTTGATTGGTTTGTTTATTTTGGAGGGGTATCTGTTTGTGGCTGATATGTCCCCTAATCTCTCTTCCCCTCCGCCCCACCATTTTTGTTTTCCATTCTATTAGTAAAACACTTTTGAGTATCTTAAACCTCTAAGTTATATGAACAATTGGTTTTTTTAAGTTTTTTAATTTCTAAATACGTAAGTGTATATTTCTTAAGAATAAGGACACTCCTTCACAACCATATTACAAATTAGAAACTTTAATACTGATACAATATTATTCTCTAACCCACAGTTCACATACAAATTTCGTCAACTGTCTAAATAAGGTCCTTTATAATACATGTTTTAATAATAATGTTTTTCTCATTCCGAGATCCCATCTAGGGTCACTTAGTGCATTCAGTTCTTATGTCTCTTTAATCCACCTTAATCTGGAACCATAGGCAGATTTTTTAAAAGGATTACATCCTATCCATAGAGAGAGAACAGTATTTTCTCATATATAAAATAATAGCCACTTTTTTTCAGATATATTGAAGATGTTTGTTTAATCATCTTGTTGAATGACTCCAGGCTGTATTAATTATGGCTCAATAGCAATGATTTCTTTAAATGTTACCATTTTTTAAATGATGACAACTCTGCATTAAGTAGATGATTTCTAAATGCCTAAAGATAACGCTATTCAAATACGATTTTAAAAAGTACATGACTCACCACTATGACCTTCAAGAGTTTGATTCATAGAAAGGTTACTAGGGGCTGCGAGACCCCTCACTTTTGCATCATCTAGAAAAACAAAATAAAAAATACTATAGCAAATACATAAAAGTGACAGGTTATAAGATTTTGATATTTCTTGCTTTTCTTTGAAAGGAGTTCCTATTCCTGGATGATATTAGAAGGATTTTTTTTTTCAGTATATCTCATTCTGATCCATTTTTCTTATGGTGGAAACAT